CCTATGGTTTTAGTTAGTCAGTTCATTTTTTGTGTTCATGTATGTTTCAGCATGGTAAACTTCTTGTTCTTGTTCAATAAACTTATTTCAGTTCATCAGTATGTTTCAGCATGTATGTTTGAGTTAGTCAGTTCATTTTTTTTTACTTTTTAGTATGTTTCAGCATGTTTATCAGTTAGTAATGCTTATGGGAGGACCTATAAAGCATGTATGTTTTACCAGTTTGAGTAATGCCTGTAAATAGCTATAAAGCATGTATGCTATTTTTATGAATAGCTGAAACATAAGTTTGAGTAATGTGCCTGCCAGGGGAGGACCTATAAAGCATGTATGTAAGTATGTTTCAGTTAGTACTACACTACTACGTATGTTTCAGTTAGTATGCTTAAGTATAGTATGCTTAACATCTTTTACTGTAAACATGAAAACATAGTATGCTTAACATGTTTCAGTTAGTATGCAAGTATAGTATGCTTAACTGCTTAAGTAAATTAATTTTTTATATAGTGCAGTCTGCACATATAATATCTGCCTTGTGGCCCTTGTGTTTTTTTTACTGGGCATGGAAGGTGAAACTCCAGCCACGGCTTCTGAAGCTGCTAAGTCAACAAAAAATGACCCAGCTTGGAATCACAACTACTGTGCTGACCCAAACAACCAAAATGCAGTAACTTGCATTTACTGTGGAAAGGAAACAAATGGGGGGATATACAGGGAAAAACTTCACCAAATAGGAGGTGATAGGAATGCAAAAGCTTGTTTGAAATGCCCAGAAGATGTTAAAAAGTTGCTGAAAGACTATATGCAATCAAAAAAGGATGCTAAGATCAACTATGATAAACTGCCAGAGCATCATGATTTTGATGCATTTCACGATCTGGAGGACGATGACACTGAAGTTGAGGAGCTGGAAACTGATTCTAGAGGCCACCTTAAAAGAGTTCGTGATGTACAGAAGGGAAAGGCACCTGTAAAGAAGGGGAAAAACATAAAAGGGCCTATGGACGCTTTTATCCACAAAAAGCCAGAAATTGTGGTCGAGTTTCGAAAGCAAGGAAGACTGAAACAGTTGAAGATTGACTAGAAGTTGGATAAGCAAAGAAGAGAGGTAGCTATTCAATACATATGCAACAAGTTTTACCATAATGGCATTCCTTTCGATGTTGCCCGATCACATTCATTTAAATGTGCCGTTGAAGCAATTGGACAATATGGTCCAAATTTGAAGCTCCTAGCTACCATGAAGTGAGGGTTACATGTTTGAAGAAAGAAGTTGCCAACATGCAGGATATGCTAGCACCACAGGTTAGTGTATTGTGAATTTCTTAGTTCATTCTCTGGCTGGATGTGTGTTTATCAAATCTGTGGATGCCTCTGCATATTCAAAGACTGGTGCTAAGGTATTAGAACTACTTGATGGATTTGTTGAGTATGTAGGAGAGGCTAATGTGGTCCAAGTGGTTACTGATAATGGCCCTAATTTTAAGTTAGGTGGTAAATTGTTAGAAACTAAGAGACCAAACATGTATTGGACACCATGTGGTGCGCACTGCATTGATCTCATGCTCGAAGACATTGGGAAGTTGCCTTTGGTTTTGAAAACTTTAAGACGGGCAATGAGTTTGACTAGTTTTATTTATAACTGTGTGGGATTGTTGAACTTAATGAGGAGGTACACAGGACAAAGAAATCTGATCAGGCCCGGGAAGACAAGATTCTGTACTTGCTACCTCACTTTAAAGAGCATCTACAAGCAAAAGGCTAATCATCGGGCTTTGTTCTCCAAGAGTGAATGGAATTCTAGCAAGTGGAAAAAAGAGGCAGGTGGAAAACAAGTCGAAGACTGTATGATGAAGCCTACATTCTGGGATAATGCTTATTACATACTCAAACTTATGGGCCCTCTTGTGAAAACTCTTCGACTTGTTGACAACGAAAGAAAACCAGCTATGGGATACATCTATGAGGCTATGGCTAGAGCCAAAGAAGCCATAATAAAAGCTTTTAATGGAAGAGATGATAACTATAAAGAAACATTCAAAATCATTGATTCTAGATGGCAAGATCAGCTTCACCATCCCCTGCACGCAGCTGGCCATTACCTCAACCCCGCCTTTTTTTATGCCGATCCGCAAATTGAATTCAATAGTGAGGTCACGACTGGATTGTATGCTTGCATAGCTAAACTGGTTCCCGAGGATGAAGAACAACTTGTTATTATTGATGAACTGTCAAAGTACACAAGGGATGAGGGTTTGTTTGGCATCAACTTGGCAGTTTTAACAAGAAAGACCAAGGCACCAGGTAACATGCAGTTTTTTTATTAATACTTTGAATAAATTCTGTTTTTTTGTCATATATACAATCTGCCAGATTAATGCAGCAATTATATTAATGAATAAATTCTGATTTTTTTGTCATATATACAGCTGAATGGTGGCGGTTGTATGGGAGCACAACTCCCAACTTACAAAAACTGGCCATGAGAGTTCTTAGCCTCACGTGTAGTGCTTCAGGTTGTGAGCGTAACTGGAGTGTGTTTGAACAGGTACATTTTAATCAGCACTCTACGAATTAATTGTTAAACACTTAAAAGTTAAAACACTTAAAGCACTATAAGAAGTAATTTTTTTTTTAGATTCACAAAAAGAGAAGGAACAGGCTAGGAATGCAAAAACTAAATGATTTAGTTTTTGTGAAGTATAAATGTATAATGCAACATTGAAAGCTCGTTTCGACTCCAAAGATATCACAGATCCAATTATTTTAGACAACATAGATGATTGCAATGAGTGGTTGACTGGAAACACTAATCATCAAAGTGTTGCACATGATTTAGTTTTCAGTGATGAGGAAGATGATGGCTTGACATGGGTGCTGTGAGTAGAGCAACAGGAGCGGAAGAACCCTTAAAATATACTAGAAGGCAGTCCACAATTCATAGTGCAAGCACTAGTAGTAGGCTTGTGGATGAGGAAAGTGATAGAGAAATTGAAGAGGATGTAGGAGGATATAAATCAGGAAATGGAGAACAAACTGACTCGGATTTTAATGACGAATAGTCCTGCAGGAAATGGGCAGTTTGGCTACAAAACTAAAATGAAATTATGTTTTATTTTCTAGTTTTAGTGTTTAAGACTTTAAGTGAATCATGAGTCATGAGTCTCATGACTTTATTTTGCTTAATCACTTAATCGTGACTTTATTTTGGTCGATCGTGACTTTATTTTAGTGAAGCATGACTTTATTTGTAAGAAACATGACTTCTTAATGTATTTCCTTCAATATGGTGAACTGGTACATCATGTTTGATTGGTACATCATGTTTGATTGTTGGAGAATAGTATGTGTTATTTTTTCTAAGCAGTGCGCCTAACCTGAGTCAGGCGAGCGCTTTTTTGCGCCTTGCGCCTCAGGCGCTAGGCTAACCATGTCGCCTTGAGTGCGCCTAACGCCTTTGACTACCTTGTTTATACATGTAGCCAAATCTTCGCAATCAAGGCTCTCGCATCTTATCTTCAATATTTGCTACTCTTATATTTTGTTTGATTGTCTCATTTTTTAAGTGGTTTTTAGTAGTGTGTCCATAGAGCCAACACAATATGTGCATCTAAAAATACTCACCTTTTAAATGTGATATTCTTTCACCGTTCTACACTCTATGTTGCTGGCCTAATTCATATTCAATCAATAAAACTTATCCTTCAGTCTAGTTGGCATACTCCAATCATATAGAAATCATGATGCATTTTTTGATTTCATCCACCTTGTTTTGATTCTATGGGAGACATCTCTATCTAGTTCATTGTCCTTCTAAATTATGGAGCTTAGATAACGGAAAGCATTGTTGTCTCTATCTATTTAGTCTTGCTTCTATTTAGTTTGAAATTTTTTATCTCCGAAGTTTATTGTTATACTTCCAACTTCACTTTAACACCATATCTGGTCTCATCAATCAACAGAATGTCATTGACAAACATCGATAACGTTATATCTACTGAATTGATTTCAAAAGTTAGTCCATGACATACAAATGAGAAAGATCTGGAGTTAACCACTTGACCCTTGATGCACTCCATTAGTAGTAGAGAACTTTGCAATCCTTCCTATACTATTAAAGATTGCAATCCTTTCATCAATTCTCGAGAAACCCTAGCATACACTTTTTCTAATGCAATAAACACTAAATGTCAGTAATTATTCGTATCTTTGTACTTCTTCACACGTTGCTTAAGAAGGTGAATAGTCTCACTTGTTAAGCAACTAAGCATAAAACTAAATTGGTACTCCGAAACCGTCACACTTCTTGAGAGCCTTTGCTAAATCACTCGCTTACAAGGTTCATGATTTCATTCATAAGCTTAATCTCTCGATCGTTGTCATTGTGCATCAATTTTATTCTTAAATAAGAATACACAAGTATTCTCCGCCAGCTCGGTGGCATAATGTTGCTTTTCCAAATCATGTTCAAGAAACTTCTTAACCACTCTATTACTTATATTATTGCATTATATAAGATTACATATTTTTGCAATATATAATATATATATTGTACTATAATGAAAAATAGAATCGCGGCCAAAATGGTATCATATACTCACTACTTATTTAGCTATAATTGTTTGACTTTTCCATTTGTTCACTAACAGATTTGACTAATATTATATTCTAACCCTTCTAAAATATTTTATAACTTTTATTTTATGGTCGATCCAAAATACTTGTTAATATACTCATCTCCTTTTTAATATAAACACCTACCCAAAAAATAATTATAATACGCCTTTTTAAAGCACAAATGACATTCAATTTACTCAAAAATATGTTATTATGTGGTACATCGGACATTCTGCTAAAACATACGGAGTACTTGAATATTTATTTTTTATATAAATCCTTTAATTCAGACCGCCCAGACCCATGCACAGATTGGAAAAACAAAATCACGAATTACGCACTACACCGCCGATAACATCCCACCGGAAGTAAAAAAAGAGTACCTCGACGATCGACGGCAAGGCGATCTTCATAGACGCCGTCTGAGCTCGAACATCACACGCGCCTTCATTACCGCCAGAAGATGCTCCACCTCCGCACAAGCACCCGGGACTTCTCTACCTTTCTCTACGTCCAATGATCTGGAAACTAGGGCAAGTCTAATTCCTTTGACATTTATTACCTGGCCCATGCATGGCCCTTTTTTTTCCAGTCCACATTACTCCTCTTTGGGTTTGACCCAACAATGATTTGTAATTAGGATGTTTTTACTTGGACTGTAATTTGCTGGTCTGGTCTGGTCTGGTCTGATCTGATCTGGTCTTGTCTGATCTGATCTGGTCTGATCTGGTCTAGGCTGGGACGAATTACCCTGTTTTTAAATAAATTTAGGTAAATATTACTCGATAATAACCGCACTTATTTGGGTGTTTTTCAGCAAAAAAGATACGGAAGTAACAGCATGACAAAAATATTTTACTCCTTCTTTCCCAGAAAATTCTTCCCACTTTGATTTGGTACAAAGATTAAGAAAATAGAATAAAGTGGAAATGTGTGGTTATAATTATGTAAGAAAAAAGTTAAATAAATGTAAACCACACAAATGGTTCAAAAATGGTAAGTGGGAAATTTTTTTGGGACGGCCCAGAAAGGAAAGTGAGAAGAATTTTATGGGACGAATGGAGAATTAGTTATTGAATCAACTCCGCTAAAAGTTGACCTAAAAATCTACTAAAAACTTTGGACTAAAATTTTTTTCTTTAGCAAAATATAATTTTTATTTAAGCTTTGAAGAGAAAGTTTGAGATTGACATGGATATTTGATCTTAAATGTAGTTGATAAACACCACTGTTTTATATATCCTCTGTTGTGATATATATACTTAATTGGTTATGATGGATAGTGTACCCGGGGGTAGCTTATCCGAGAGGTTATTGCGGAGAATAACTAGAGAGAAGTCAGAGCAAGTAAGTATAGAGAGAGAAAGTATATTTAGAAAGTAGGCAGTGTTTTTCAGCGTGTTATGACTTGGTTACAAATGGAGAAATGGTGTGCTATTTATAGTAGCAATAAATGCCAGACAGGGACACGTGGCAAGCGTCTATTGGCCGAGAGGTCATCTCAACTGGTTGGCGCTGGCAACCGCATGTGGCCGCATTTAATGCGGTTGTTGGATGGGACGTTGTACAGGGTACGGTGATCCATACGCATGTGGAGCGGATATTATGTCGGAAGTGGCGCCCTCGGCGTAGATGACTAGCAGAGGGCTCTGAGTACCGGGGACCCTCTTAGTGCCGAGGGCTCCCACTGCCGAGGGCTACTGATTTTCGCCGTTTTTCCCAGTAACTTTGTTTTCCTGTCTTGGCCCTCTTGTGAGAGTTAGAGCCTTCGGCCAGGGGGCGAAGGCACCCCTGGTGCGCATTGTGGGCTGCTTGGTACTCTGGGCGCTGTTATTTGGGCTTGTTGTGCTTTCTGGGCCTGTTGGGCCTTTATTGCAGTAGTGGGAGTCTGTGGGGCGGGGGTTCCCGGGCCATATACTCCATCAGGAGTCCCTCACTCCTTTTGCCGAAAGGTACTTGAGGGAAAAGGAGTAATTGTGTTTGTCCTCTGCCGTTGTTTCGTTTGTAGTTTGTAGAGTTGTGGGTAGTTTGCTGTTTGTTTATTCTGCCGAGGGCAGTCCCTCAATTACCCACATGTTGGGACTTGAGGGGTCATGTTTGTGATTTTTGTGATTTTGCAAAGTGGTGAAAAGGAGTAGAGTAGTTGCGCTGCTGTTTTGGGCCGAAGGCTGACGCTTTTCGTTTCATTTTGGGGGGATGCCTCGTTAAAAACCTCATTAGGAAAAACCATGTGGGAAAAAATCCTAATGAGGGAAAAGGAGTGCACCGAATTCCCCCAACGATGAATCGAAAACGTGAAACCTTGGTTCGAAATGGAGAATGATGATGATGCCGAAGGCTTTCCTTGTTCTGAGGGCTCATGTGTTGATTAGCCGGAGGCTTGCTTTTGATACCCTGGGAGGTGCCGAAGGGGAGTCCCTCAATCTGGGGATCGAGGGCGTAATGAATGAGGGTAGTAGTTGAATTGTTACCGGGGTGTCCCCTGTTTGTTGATTAGTTGGTGATGAGGATATCTGAGGGCTCCCATTACATGTGTGTCGTAGGCTATCCGTCAATGAGGCATACTCCCCAGGGGCTACCCGGCCCTCAAAGTGCTGAGGGGGGATCCCCGAGGGGTGGCCTGATATGAAGCCTTGGGCTTCTGAAGGAATGACCCCGAAGGCATCTGTTATGTAGTGTGTGGGGCACAAACCGGGAGTGTCTCCGGGTAAGTGTACCTGGGGGCTCTTCTTGATGAAGTGGAGTGAAGTAAAAAGCCCGGGGGCTCCCAGAATATAACCGTTAAAAATATAGCCATTGGAATATGTAACGTCAGGATATAGCCGTTGGGGGGGTTGCCACGTGGTGCGTGCTCATTGGCTGCCTATGGGCGGGCGTCACCGATTGGGTGAAACCACGGTTGGTAATGATGGCAGTCCAACCGGAGGCCCGGTTTCCAGGCCCAAGCCCGGATCCCAGCGCCTATAAATACCCCATGGCCGGCTTCACTTCCCCTTGTGCGAAATCATTGTAGCGAAGCTCTGCCAAAATTTCTAGAGAGAGAAACAGCCGCCTTCGATCAATCCCTGCCCTAAGGTCAGTTCCCCGTCTGTTCTTCTCCCTCCTTAGCTAGCTGTAGCGGCCTTAGTTCTAGGAGTTGTACCTTAGAGAACTTTAGTGTTTCCGAGCCCTCGAACTAGTGCAAAGATGTCTTCCCAAAGTGATTCCCAGGACATCTCGGGGGCGCCCTCAATGGAGGATGAAGTCATTTCGGACGTGGAGTCCACAAGCGAACAGCCCTCAGCAGGACAAGACGCTGTCGTCGCAATGGAGTTGCAGAAAGCCCTCGTTGCTGAGGCGGAAGCCGAGGGCTTCGAACAAGAGTGTGAAGACGAAGAGCTGGCCCTCGCCTGGCAAGTAGCTGAGGAAGAGGCGCAGAAAGAGGGCGTGAGGGTCACTGTTGCTGTTCTCCCCCCTCGGGGCACTGGCGAGGTCAGCACCTCTCGGACGCTGAACGCGGTTCCCATCCGGGTGGCCCCCGGAAAGAAGAAGGCGAAGGTTGCTGCCCCCAAGAAGAAGGGCAGTGTTGCAGACCAAGGGAAGCCCCTCGATACGCCCGAGGGGTATTCCTACTTGAACACCGCCGCCTTAGAGATAAGGTCGAAAGCTGATGCGGCGGATCTTTATGTCACTCAATTACACGTGGGCCTCTCGGTCATCGTGGTGGCACCGGGTCCCGATGACGTCCTCTCCTGGGATCCCGAGGGCTGCATTGCGGTGCACATCCTCTCCGTGTCGATGGGGCTCCGGTTCCCCCTACATCCCTTCCTCCGGGAGTACCTCCGGTTCGTGGGTTTGGTCCCCTGCCAACTGACCCCGAACAGCCATTCCTACATCACGGGTTTCCTCCAGCTCTGCAAATCCCGGGGGGTAACACCTAGCCTGGATCTCTTCTTCCAAAGCTTCAACCTGTGCCGGGGGCATGCGAACGCCGAGGGCTTCGCAAAACTGCAGCAGGTGGCATTGTTCAAGCTTTTTACTGAGGCACCCTCCTCGAACAAAGGGTGGAAAGACCGGTGGTGTTACGTGAAGTTGTCCGAGAGCCCCTTTCCGAGGGAATTGCGTGATCGGTTTAGGAGACATGAGAAGAGGAGGAGCGCCGCCCTCGAGAAAGATGGCAGGGTCCTGGCAAAGATCCCGGAGGGCCGGGACAAAAACATAACCATCAAGGAGTGCACCCAAGAGGAGGATCTCTAGACCCTCGGGTTTCGGCGGTATCGCTTCCTGGGGGAAACAGATGAGAAGTTCCCGGCATTTGAGGGAGCCTCCGGAGGTAGTGGCTGAGAGCACCCTTGTTTTCGTACCTGAGCACATAGTTTGTTTGTTGTTTGTTCCTTTTTTGTTCCATCAGTTAGTGACCCCTCGGTTTTAACCCCGTATTGTTTTGCAGGTATCCCAGTCAACATGATGAACGTCAGGGGGCTCGCTGATTTAAAGAAGAAAAAGTCCTCCAAGGCCCCGAAGGGAACGGATGCTGGCGTCCCAAAACCCGCCGGTGACTTCTTCAAGAAGCCAGAGGGGCCGTCGGTGGCCCCAAACACTGACGCTGCTGCTGCTGCCAAGAGAAAAGGCGCGGGCAAGGCTCCCGAGGGCAAAAGGCCGAAGATGGGAGATGCCGGGAGGAAAGGTCCCCCCGTGGTTATTGTTGACGATTGTCCCGCCTCCGGGGCGCATGATGAGGAGATGACGGTGGCGGAGGTGGCGGGGGGTGTCCGGTAGCCATCTTCTGAGGTCCTGACGGTTTCCCTCCCGGTGGGAACGGCCGTGACGAATTGCACGGCTGACCCGAGGGTGCTTCTGAGGGGTATGACCCCTGAGATTGACAGAGCAGCCCTCAGGGCTGATGATGACCAAGCCCTTGAGGACAGGATCCTCCGGTCTTCCCTCACGGTAAGTTTTTGACAGTTTACCGTTTTTACTTTGTGCTAGGAAATAATGTACGACCTTCCTAACTTCTGTATTTTTTGTAGACCTGCATTGCCCTCGGAGAGCAGGCCCGGAGGCTAGATGAGTGGCGTCTTCGCAAGGCCGAGCAGGATGCCAAGATGCGGGAGCTCATCCGCCAGAATTCTGATGCCATCCGGCAGATGGCTATGCTGGAGGAGAGCCTTCGGCAGATGACCCAACGGGCGGAGGCCGCAGACCGGGGCAAGGCCGAGGCTGAAAGGTCCGCAGTTGAGGCCCTTGAGAGAGATGCTAGGGAGGCTGAGGCCGCCAAGGCGGAGGCCGTCGAGAAAGCCCGAGGGGACGCCATCTCTGGTTTCTTGGCAGGGGGGTGGCGAGCAGAGGAGCACAAGCAGTGGTTGTCCTCGGTCGTCGAGTCCTCGGTCGACGAGTGGTGCGATGGGCCCGGTGTGGAGTGGGTTTCCCGAAAGGGTAAACAGTACTATGATGGGGGCGAGTTTTTCACTCAAGCCCTTATCTACCGGAGGATGGCCCGCCACCTGAAGATTGAGCAAAAGG